ACACTGAGTCGGGGGACATCGTGACTCAGAAATGGAAAGAGTATCTGAAGTGTGTGTGATTCTCTGACATGAGGACACTCAGGTCGCCATTTTGCATACTGCCTAGCTGCACCTCACTGAGCGCTGCACAGTGCTCAGTTGAATTTCTACCCTGCTTTGGTCTTATTTATCTTGAGGACAGGCTCCCTGGGTGCCAGAAGTCCTCTTCAGGTAGGCTGACCAATAATTTTGTCAGATCTAAGACGACTGTCAGAGTGACCAGCAGCCAACCTCTCGTTTGTTTGTTTGCTTGATGTTTGTTTCTCCATGTAGCCCTGGCTGCCCTGGATCAATCGATCAATCTCTCTCTCTCTCTAGACCAGGCTGCATGCTGGGATTGATGGCACATGAACCAGCTCTCTCATTTCTTAATAACCCCGAGTACAATAAATGACACATCCATATAGAGCTATGATAGTTGTTAACAAAAAAATAAGAAGAAGGAGGAGGAGGAGGAGGAGGAAGAGGAGGAGGAGGAGGAGGAGGAGGAGGAGGAGGAGGAGGAGGAGAAGAAGAAGAAGAAGAAGAAGAAGAAGAAGAAGAAGAAGAAGAAGAAGAAGAATCCTACAGTTGCAGAGACTCTCCGCCCACCCTTTTGTTAGCCGGTTCCTCCCCTCATCACCCACCAAAAGTAATGCGATGGATATACGCAGTTTAAGCCCTCTTCTGCTATTCTTAGCCAAGAACAAATGTCTCCTTCACTGCTCAGCTGCTGTCACAGGTTACGTGATCCAAAGAGGGAAAGGGAAAAAGACTCAGTTGTGAGAGGAGGCTCCTAACACGACACACACTTAGTTCCTTAGATATGAAAGATGAGAATGTGTACACACAGAAGGATGTATGCCAATGTAAACAGAACCAGAGAATTATACCCTCTATATTATCAAAACCTTAAAAGTCGACGTTCCTTCTGTAAGTTAAAAATGGAATTACATATTGGCTGGGGGGATGGCTCAGTTGTTCAGAACACTTGGTGAGGTTCCAGAAGATCCAGGTTGGATCCCAGCACTCACACAGTAGCTCACAACTATCTGGAACTCCAGTTAGAAGGGATCCAATGCTCTTCTGGAATCTGTGGGCATTGCATGTACACAGTGCACAGACATAAACACAGGCAAAACATTCATACGCATAAAACAAAAACCTCAAAAAAAAAAAAATAAGGTTCTCATAAAACCAACATAAAGTACCCACAAGAATAGAAACAGCTGCCACTTGTAACTCCTGGTCAGCGCTGTCCTGAGTATTCTGTGTGCACCCACGTCTCACCTCCCACAACTGCCTGTTCTACAGAGGGAGGCTGGAGCTCAGAGTGACTTGTTCAAGGTCACCAATTCATCCACAGAAGTCAAACTGCCTGTCACACTTAGGGTGCTGGCTCTGCCCACTAACTGTCACGGGCTGTCACTATGCACTCTTACAACATTAGCTCTGCTCACTAACTGTCACAGATTGTCACTATGCACTCTTAGGACACTGGTTCTGCTCACTAACCAAATGGGGCTTACCCTAATTTTCTTATCCCAGTTATGGGCTGACAAGATGGCTGCCAACAGTAGGAGACTGGTCACCAACCCTGCTAATCTCTAGGGTCAGTCTCCAGGAGAGAACCAACTCCTACCAGTGCGTTCTGACCCCCACATGCACTGTGCTCCAGTGTAGTATGCACACTGCCCCTCCAAATGCAAATAGATATAATGTAATGTTGTTGTTGAAAAAGGTTCTCTGTAGGAGGAGCTAAGGTGGGAGGAGCAAGGAGAGGAAGAGGAGGAGTTAGGAGAGGAAGAGAAAAAAGGAAGAGGAGGAGCTAAAGAGGGCAGAGATGTAGAAGGATGGAGAACCACACAGGTATGGAGAGCACTCGTGGGGAACAACTTATAAACTTATAATCAGGTTAGCTAACTGGGATATCACTCTCTTTGTATGGGCATCTTGTTATTAATCATTATCAAACATATAAAGCCTTTGATTAATCTATAAGAATTAGAGTCTCATTCTCTTACTGGGCCCACATGGATAGCGGAATGGTCTGGGCAATGTCCTGCCTTGCAGAGTCAGCGTGGAAGATTGGCAGAGCCATCTCTCACGCTGGCATCTTGTGGGTGGCAGGGCTGGTGTTTCTGGCGGGCCGGTTCTAGCTGCAGCGCGAATGTGGCCTCAGGCTGAGAAACATGGCGGCTGAGCTAGGCAGAGCTGCTGCAGCTTAGATGGTCGGCCTGTGCAGCCTCACTTTTTAAATAATTACTTCAACAGTTCTCTCTGTGTGATCCTGGCTGTCCTGGAACTCGATATGTAGACCAGGCCAGCCTCAAATTCAGAGATCCATCTGCCTCTGCCTCCCAATTGCTGGAAATAAGGGCATGCATCATATGCCCAGCCTATAAGATACATTTCCTTTGTATAATCTGTCTTGGGAGATCCGATCACAATATTTTTAGCCTCATCTGGTAAACAATGAATTACAATCTGCCTCCCACTGAACTAAAAAGGCCAAACAGCACAGCCCCTCTCCATCCTTGTTCATTTGAGATCTCTGGTCTCTACCATATGCTGACAAAATGGTGACGAAACCGATGCCCAGAAGTCATCCAAGAGCTTAGGGCACCAGACTAACAAAGCACAAGGTGCCCAGTATTCACCATGTGTTGATACCCCAAAGCAAAGCTCAAAGTTCAAACCCTCACAGCGAGGGGTGGGGCATAGCACTTCTGACTATGACAAGTCTGAGGGTCTATTGAACCACTGTCCGGTCAGTCTGCCTAGACCACTGCTAAGTAACCTCTGGCCCCCACTTCACCTCCACTTGCCTAAGAATAGCCTTATATCTAAAAGAAGAGCCGACAGCAGGATCTGCTTCTATTGCTCCTGAGCAGTAAACAAACCAAGACAAGGATACTTCAGACAAAAGTCTTGCTCTTAAAAAGCACATACAATCACCACTGCTGATGTTTGTCATTACACAGAACCACAGGCTGTAAAGGCTGAGGAGCCGGGGCTTGCTTTTCCTCTGATCGCTTAATACATAACTGTTGTCTAAAAGATGATGTAATTGCACTCATGTGTCAGGCTTCCCAGAAATCACACTGGGATTCTGGACAATCTGTGTTACTTTCAGTTCTGGAGACATGTGACTTTAGGTCAATTTACTTAGCCAAGAGTCCCCAGGTATTACCTGTTCAAGGAAACAGGGTTCTAATTGTTTATCAAGGTACAATGCCAAACATATTAATTTGATATAAATATCAAGATGTCAAATTTGACAGTTTCAGAATGCAAGAATTATAGCTTTATGTATAGTTTATATAGTTGATTTCTTAACAGAAAAACACTCATCTAATTTGGTATGCCTACTAACTATCTTGGAATTAAAATATTACCTAGAACTTTATGCTTTTAAAAAGTTATAACCGAAATCCCAGCAGTTGGTAGGCAAAGGCAGGCAGATTTCTGAGTTCGAGAGTTCGAGGCTAGCTAGCCTGGTCTACAGAGTGAGTTCCAGGACAGCCAGGGCTACACAGAGAAACCCTGTCTCGAAGAAAAAAAAAAAAAGAAGTTATAGCCGGGCAGTGGTGGTGGCGCACACCTTTAATCCCAGCACTTGGGAGGCAGAGGCAGACAGATTTCTGAGTTCGAGGCCAGCCTGGTCTAGTTCCAGGGCTACACAGAGAAACCCTGTCTCAAAAAACAGATAAATAAATAAATAAATAAATAAATAAATAAATAAATAGGGGCTGGAGAGACTGGTTAAGAGCACCTACTGCTTTCGTAAAGGCCCCGCTTACTCAGCACCCATGCTGACTGACTGACTCACAATAACCACCTGTAACTCAGCTCCTAGAGTCTGGCGTCTGGCCTCCTCAGGAACTCACACGTGCAGGTCTGCACAGCTACTCCATGAAGCTCTAGCTGTCCTGGAACTTGACATGTACCCTAGGCTGGCCTCAAACATGCAACGCTCCTCCTGCCTCTGGCCCCCTGGTACCAGGGTTACAAGTGTGAGCCGCGGTGCCTGGCCATAGGCTAGACTCCTGAACACTGACATTCTAGCTTGTTCTGCACTTGCACACGGATAAATCACTCCTCGGAAGCCAGTTCACGATTCTGTGTGACGTGCTCTTCTCACTCATCGTATGTGGCTTCTGACTATTTGGTTGTTCTGCCTGCTTTTTTTAATTTGATATCCCCTTCCCCCGGGATCTTTCTTCTTAAAATGCTTTTGGCAGAGGCAAATGCAGCCCATGTGCTTTGCCTCTGACACTAGGCAGTGAAAGTGAAAGCAACTACAATTAGGGGAAACTTCAGAACAAAAAGAACCACTTTTCTCTCCCAGGATCTGTACTAGGTTCCCAGCACACATGCCCAGTGGCTTACACCCCACCTAGAACTCCAGCTTTAAGGGAGGGGAAGCTGTCATCAGGCCAGAACAGACCCTGCCACACATAGGTTTCTTTCTGTTTCTGTCTCTGTCTCTCTCTCTGTCTCATCTCTGTCTCTGTCTCTGTCTCTCTCTCTCACACACACACACAATGAAAGCATATCATTTAAAAAGAAAAAGGAGAGAGGAAAGAAGAGAGGGAGGAGGGAGAAAAGGAGGGGAGTGGGGAGGGAAGGAAGGAGGGAGGGATGGATGGCTCAGTGGTTAAGGGCACTTGATGATTTTCCAAAAGACCCAAGTTAGATTCCCAGTGCCCACACCAGTAGCACACAACTACGTGTAACTCCAGTTCCAGAGACATCCTCCAAGGACACCTTCACTCATTTATACACACTCACACAAATAATTTAAATCAAATAACTTTTTTAAAATCATAATTAAATTTCAGCACTCCCTCACAACTGGTCAATATGACAAGGAAGCTGCCCAAGGGTTTCAGACTAATGTATTTACAGCAAGCCTCACAGAATCACCACATAATCACTCAGACACAACACAAAAACACTCGGCAAGCCAAGGTACTAACCTGTTAACAGGATGAACTTTGAAAGCACAGCCTAGGAGACAAGCCATCTAATAAAGCAAAGAGGAATAGTGTTTGACAAAAGAAATGTCTGTCTACCTCTCAGGAGTTCTTAGGGGCTGTGGCTCTGTTTGCTCATGAGTCTGATGACAGACTGGACATCCCAGGGTATTTTGTTCTTATACAGCTAACCCGCCTGAGCCTTGAGAAGAGGAAGAAGGCGGAGACAAGCAGGGGGTGTGGCTTGTTAGGGAATGATTAGGCAGAAAACAACCTAAAGGCACATTGGTTTCTTTTGTCTGATGCCTAATAGTTTAACTCTTGGCTGGCAAGTGTCCTATTCCTCTGAATGTTCGCTTCACACCCCTGCAGAACGTCAGAGGCCTTTCTCTACCGGCTAAACAATCAGGCAAGGTGAGAAGAACCGAGTGCCTGACCCAGAAAGTGCCTCAGGCGAAGCTGAGGAGCAGCCTTGGGTGAAAGACATTAGGTCGAAGATTCTGATGACATCAAGTACATTTCTTCACAGTCCACAATAGTACACGGGCATACATGTAAGCAAACAAACATACACACATCACACAACAAAAATGTATACATCTTTAAATAGGAAAACATGCATATACCCATAATGCAGCAGGCCAGCACTCACCCAATTAAGTGACTTTCAACAGCAGAGATTCTTCCTTACGCTTTTGTAAGTCACAGTTGGACATGGGGCTCTCCAAGCTAAACATCAAAGTGTCCACCTGTCACCACCTGGCCCGAGGTCACTTCTCCCTCTGCCCACAGTCAGCTGATCAGTTTTCAAGGACTCATCCGGATAACCCAGAATTAGACCAGCAAGATGCCTCAGCAGATACAAGCACTTGCTGCAAAAGCCTGCCAGCCTGAGTTCAATCCCCCGGGGTGGACCGTAGGAGGAAAACTACTTTGGGAAGTTATCTGCAGACCCCTGCACACATGTCCTGTGACCTGCTCCTTGGGCTTCCGCTAATATGACCCACATGACGGTATGTGCCCTAGAACTAATGCTGATCAGGCTAGGACTGACTGAAGAATCAGCGACTGCTGACAAGAGCTCAGGTTCACTGAAGTGAAACCTTCTAGGCTTCACTGGAACAAGAAAGAAGTATTTCCCGAGGTCAACACACCAAGCTGTGGTCCAAGGGAGGCAGACGACACCTTGAGCTGAACTTAGCAACGTGTTCCGTGGGTATCACTGGTTTTGGAGATATGAGGGTTCAGAGGGAACAGCTGAGGCTTGGCATCTCATGGCAGGGTCAGAGAGCTACAAGTGAGGCTCTGGGGGGCTATGGATGAAGGTCAATCTCTAGTTGCTATGGAGATCTCAGGATACTGCAGATACCAGGACCATAAAACATCCACCTAGGAGAGCTGCAGATGGAGGTACCCAAAGAGACAGGCTTTGGGTGCTGTGGATGGCAGAGCTGGAGAGGCAGGGCTGCCCAAGCCCCTAGGAGACCAAAAGATTACAAGCCTCAAAGATGCCAGCACTGAGTGGCAGGATTTGGATTTACACTGCTGGATTCTCATTTTGCTTTGCAGTGACTGTTTTTATGTCCTGGGTTTTCCCCATCCTGGCCCATGTACCCAGTATATTCACACTTACACAATAATAATTTGTACATCTTTTAAATTCTAGTTCTTTTGATCAAGCATGATGGTGTACACACACCTTTAAATCTCAGAACTTGGAAAGCAGAGGCAAATGGATCTCTATGAGTTCTAAGTCAGCCTGGGTCTACATAGCAAGATCCAAGCCAGCCAGAGCTATATAGTGTGACCCTGTCTCAAAAAAAGAAAAAAAAGAAAAAGAAAGAAAGAGTTAAGTTCCTTAACATAGGCACATCCTGTACGGATGTAACTGATTCATACATTTCAGGAATGAAAATCATCTACCTGTAATTTTTTTTTTCCTAACCCAGAGTTACCCTACAAGAGCACACACGATAGGCTAGTTAGAGGGGCGTGGGCAACTTACAAGTAACCACGACACTGGAAAAAATGTCCCTCTCGCCGGGCGGTGGTGGCGCACGCCTTTAATCCCAGCACTCGGGAGGCAGAGGCAGGCGGATTTCTGAGTTCGAGGCCAGCCTGGTCTACAGAGTGAGTTCCAGGACAGCCCGGGCTATACAGAGAAACCCTGTCTCGAAAAACCAAAAAAAAAAAAAAAATGTCCCTCTCACCCCCAGAGGCCAGAAAGGAGCTGTGTGAAGACAGACCTAGACATGGTGGTCAAGCCTGTCACGGCAGCACTTAGAAAAGAGGCAGGAGGATCAGAAACTCAATTTTCCTTATCAAATAGGCTCCAGGCCAGGCTGCTTTGTCAAAGGAAAGTAAAAGCTAAATTTGAATAGAGTGGTCCACTGACCGGTGTGGAACTGATACCTTCAGCTCTGCCAGTCCCTACATAGGTGATCACATGACCTGTCCACAGTCCCTGGATGGGTGATCACATGACCCACCTGTAGCCTCTGATTATGTCCTGTGTCCCCAGACTAACCAAGAGCTCTCTGGAGATTAAGCCTCGGTTCCCCTCAGCAGTAAAAGCTGTACCACAGGAGACATGCTGGACCCTGGGAGACAATCCAACAGTGGTTCCTCCATTCCACCTCCATCCCAACATTCTTTGCTTTGTTTTTCGCAGCTTCCTGATTTAACCCATTTAGGGGATGGTGAGATGGCTCAGCAGTTAGAAGCACACGCTGCTCTGACTGAGGATCCGAGTTCAGTTCCCAGCGCCCATGTAGAGCAACTCATAACTGCCTTTAACTCCAGATTCAAGGGGGATTTGATACCTCTCCCCTCCATAGGTACCCACACATATACGCCTGTGTGTGCTTGTTCATATGAATACACACACACACGCACACACGCACACTTTTAAAGACAGATTCTGCAAAGATGTATTTATTTTATGGACAAGTAGTTTTGCCTGCATGGACACCTGTGCACCACGTGTATGTCTAATACCTATAGAGGTCAGAGGGCATCAGAGCCCCTAGAATTGGAGTTATGGACAGCTATGAGCCACCATGTGAGTGTGTGGAACTGAACCCCAGTCCTCTGCAAGAACGGCAACTGCTCTTTATCACTGAGCCATCTCTTTTGCTCCCACAGACGTATTGTTTTTTTTAATAATAAAAATATTTTTAATTTAACACATCTGGAAGTGTGAAGAATACGAGATGAAAACGGCCCCTCCCCTCTCCTTTTAGGCACTCTGTGCATACACACGTATACACATATCCATTCAGTGCCCCTCCTTTCCCACAAATGATACCAACTCACAGGTCTTCATTCTTATACTTAAGAATGCAGCCTGCACCCAGCTATCGGGAAGAAAACAAAATGCCTTTCTTTGTACCTGCATACTACTCCACCATGAAGCCGTCCTGTTACTCATTTCACCAAACATACTCTGGTGCTGTTACCAACCATACTGAGTAAACACCTCCGTGAGTACATCTGAGAACCAAATATCTACAAGTGGAATTTCTGAGTACACAGGGTCAGGTGAACCATTAACTCTGACAGGTCTGTACTGTCTGCAGAGAGCTCTCTGTTGAGTTTGCCGTTTTATAAGTCTTTCCTAAAGCGATCTGTTACATTTCTTTCCCAGGGAAGTAAAACAAGTCTGCATAAGCGCCTGGCTTTAACTACATTTATTTGTGGCCTTCATGTGACAGTCAGAAACAAGTCATCGGGCTTGGTGGCAAGCACCGTTACCTGCTGAGTCGGCCTGCCAGTTCTATTCAAGTGAGCTTTAACTGAGCTGTTTTGTTTGGTTTTTGAGGTAGAGTATTGGGTGTTTTGTTTTGTTTTGTTTTGTTTTGTTTTTACCATGTGTAAGGCTAAGTCTCTTCTGTGTACCTAAGATCCACTAATACTGTACTTTTTGCATGAATTGTTCGGATCCTTTAACCACTTTTGTTTAGGGTACTCGGGACAGCCTTGAACTCTTGATCCTCCTGCCTCAGCCTCTCCAGTGCCAGCACAACAGGCCTGCACCACAAACTGTGGTTCTCAACTCTCCTCTTCAGAGTGTTTGTTCTTGTCTTAGCTGACTTGTAGGGGTTTTTATATTAACTGATCCTTAATAAATAACATGAATTACAAATACAGTTTCCTGGTTTGTCGGGTTTTGTCCGCTCCGGTGTTTGCTGTTTGTTTTCTTTATAAGTAATGAGTTTTATTTATCATTCTGTTCCTTATGGTGACCACCGCACACAGAAAGGCCATTTCTGTCCTAAATTTACAAGACCGTTTCCCTTTGAGTTTCTTAGAATGGCCAGCCATGAACAACCGTAGCCTCACCCTAACGTGTTCCCAGATATAACATATGGAGACACACCACTCCTGTCCACGCAGCATTTAGATGGTTACTCAGGCAGGCTGCACAAGGCCTATCTGTCCTATTGTAAAAGATCTTCACAGCCTCTCTTACCACACACACACAAGCACCAGACTCTGGGCCAGGCTCTAAGGCAGGAGGCATCCAAACCACAAACACCCAATGCCCCACACTGCGACAGTCTCACCCATACACCCATGCCTCTATAGTGTACCTATGACAGGAAATCGGTGAATGCCCCATTCCAGAGTAGATCTCATCTGTGTGAGCTCTATAAGCCACACCCCTCGGAGGTCCCCAATTATGTCTACCTCTTAACCTTCTGCACACACTCCACGCCATTCCCACCACCCATCTTAGTCCTCAACATTCCTACCAAAACCCTTTTGTGCTTGACATTCCTCCGTCTCATCCCCTTACTCTGTTCACCACAGTGGCTCCTTCCCATCCTTGAGTAGGTCTCTCTACCTCCTCAGAGAGCCAATGCCCCATTTTGTTGACTCTTATCTTTATGGCAGTTGGCATTGTTTTAGCCATTAATTTATTTCCGTATTTATTATCTGTCATCTCGAAAGTCCCCAGAGGGCAGAGGCCTTGTCCAAATCATTTACGTTTTAAAACCCAGCATTCACTTAACACAGTGCCTGGCAGAGAGTCAGTACCCAATAAATACTGGGGACATTAAACCTGACTGAACGAGTTCCAGAAAATTCCATTTCTGCATCATCAAGTTTCTGAAGAGCCCAACCACATGAGATGGAGACGTGGCTATAAGAACA